CATAACATATCCAATCTGAATATAATACATAATCTATAAAACTTGGATGTTAATTAAGGGAGTCCTAAAGCGAAGCTCGAACAGAGTTACCAGAGATCGTTGTTTTTCCAACGCATCGACATGTCTTTATATATTTCCACACCAATATCTCACTTAAGATACACACAGTCGCACGTTCGTGTCAATTTTCGTATAACAGATTTATCGCGATAAAGTGTTTAAGTCTAATTTTAAAAACTCGACGTTATTTGTTCGTGTAAACTACGTGTTTGTAGATTACTATTTCGTAAATACAAGTTGCAAAACTTTCGTATCAAATGTTGTCACGACTTGACAGTTTGAGATGCCATGTTACATTAAGAAAAAATAGTAAAAAATATATTAATTTCGGAATTTTTGGTCATTCTTGGCATAAACTTCACCTTAAACACGTATTAAAACACGTATACTTTAATCTTGAAAAAAGATTTTCGAATCTGTGAAAGAGAAAAAAAGTATTTGTTATAAAAATTATATAATTTAGTGCCGGTTCCATCTTTTGATAAATTTTATCTGTTAGGTAAATCTGGCAATCTATACATGTGATTGGATAATCTTGCTACTTATCTAACAGGTAAAATTTATCATAAGGTGGAACAACCGGGTCTTAATCAATAATATAGACGGATTTAGCATCCCCTTAAGGCGTCTTACAGACTTGTCCATTATGACCATTTTATAGAATTATTTTTATGACGTCTTACAGGCATTGTCCTTATGATGTCTTACAGACATTATCCTTAAGACATTATCTTTGCCTTTGACATTTATCTAAAACATAAAAATAAAAATTACTGATGGAAACGCAAGAGGATCTATATAAAGCAGAAGTTGGAATTACCTGATAAATCGGTGTATGTGAATGATGTCATACTTAATACATATTTTCAATAATGATCTATAATTGTGACAGATAATAGATCGTTATTGAAAATATATATTAAGTATGATATTATTCATATATCGATTTATCAGATAATTCCAACTGTTGCTTGTATTTTTCATCTTGTCAACGCGTTTCCGGACAGCTTCGTACATCTAATAATTTCTAATAGATTATGTATTATATTCAGATTGATCATATGTTATGCACTCGATTGACATGTATAAATAAAATTTGCAGTCGATAATGTAAATTGCTATACATGCTCCAAAACTTAATAATTTCTTGATATCATTCGAAAATGTTTGAAAAACGTCTAAAAAACGTCTTTTGAAAAAGTCTTAAAGATTTTAAAAGTCTTAAAGTCTAGTTTAAAACGTCTTTTGGATGTCTTTCAGACATACATGTTGTTTGAAATAATTCGCAGGATAATAATTAATCAATAATAAATTTATCAACAGAATCCAGATTGCGATGCAATGTATCTGTTTATTCTCATTCCAAGCGTCGCGCGCCGAGAAACAGTGGCTGTTTAAAGATGCGTTCGGAAAGACATTATTAGCATCCTTGCTTGTCGCAGGCGATATCCAATATACCTTTAAAATGAAAACATCAGTAAAACTGTACACTCATTGGATATCGCATGTCGCGATGAACATCGCGTTGGTGTGCCGGAAGCATAATAAACTATAAAAATAAAATGAAATATCGCTAGTAGCATTTTTCCGAATCTTTAGACTGTAACGGGATGGCTACGTAGACATTACTGCTTCTCGACGAGCGACACTTGGACTGGGGACAAACGCGATCGGGACTCTGTTTATCAATATTAAGTTGATAGGTAGTTATAAATTCGACGCATTGCGCGTTAGTAAGATTGTATTAGTAAGATTTGTGAGAATTAATTAAGTGAGTGTCTAGATCATATCATATAATATAAATTGGATAGGTTGAAGACATTATTATATAATAATTCGCCACCCGACGAGCAATTACAAGTAAAAAAAAATTAAACATCTAGGTGTTGTCTATGTTTTTGCCGTCGAGGAAGTAGGTGTCTAGATGTCCCTTTCTCGACAGCGGACACTTATTTCCTCAGCGGCGAAAACTTAGACAACATCTAGATACTTAATTTTTTTTATTTAACTATAATAGTTTAACTATTACATTTTTTTTTATTTAGATAGTACAGTATCTAAAAATTTAGTTAGATATAGATTTGGAAATAATTTTGTTGAATTACTAAAATAATTATGTTGGATATTCAAACACGACGAGCAATATCGCAAAAAATTTTGACACTTATTTTATGTTATTCTATATAATTATGTTGATGATTGAAGAATTATTTTTAGATTTATATTTAATAGGAGTGTACGAGTGCTCAAAAAATTCGAGCCTCGAATCGGATCGGGTAAAATCGGGTACTTGAATTTCAGGATAAAATACTTGAAACTATTCGAGACCCAAAACTTTATTCGGGAATTCGGGACTCGATATTCGATTTGGGACAAAATTTTTCTGATCTTAAATTTTTGGAAGTATTTTTATATGTGTCATGTGATTAAATATAAATATAAAATCATGTAGTTAAATAAATGTAGCTAAATAAAAAAAAGCAATGTGTGAATAATTGCTTTATTTTAAATTAAAGTATAGAAAGTATAATGTTTGTTGGTATTAATTTACTTCGTGTAAGGTAGTGACAGAATTGGATAGGTCTGTCCACTCATTAATTCTGTCACTTCTTTTTTGATTGGTTGTAGTACCATAACAATAGTTTCCCCAAACCTCCATTCTTTGTTATTTAAATTTTCCGGCATATTATCTTCGTATAATGCAACGCTCAAAGATTTTCGCAATAATACTAATCTGTATAACATGTCCTATGTCGAATTTTATCGCGTGTTTACGTCTTGTATTTATAAACCCGATCAAGTTGCTCTATAATTGATATAAGACGCGATATAATTTTATAATGAAGTGTACGCTATATCATCGCTATATCATTCCGTAAAATGTACGTCAATAACATATCTTTCGACCTATAGGAAACTACTTATCTTTAATATTAAAGATAAGTAACTTTCTACAGACCGAGAGGTATGTTAGTGGCGTACATTTTATCTCTCGGTCTGTAGGAAGCTACTTATCTTTAATATTAAATATGTTTTTATGATATAACAATAAAAACAAGAAAAATATAAATATTTATTGTAATAATATGGTTTTTATGTTATAAAAACAAGAAAAATATAAATATTTATTATATTGTGAACACCTTACAAATGAATTTTTGTTGTAGACGCAATAACTTTTTCTAATATCTGGCGGAAAGCAGATTTGAATGACATATTATGGAAATAGTTTCTTTTAGAAATCAATTTTAACGAGAACCAAATTTTTCATTCTAAAATAAAATTCATTCGACGGGGGTAAAAAATTTTTTACGGGATGATATAAATCATAAAAACAAGTAAAACACATAAATATTAATTGCATTGTGAACATCTTGAATGAATTTCATTTGTAAAATGTTTACGATACAATAAATATTTATATTTTTCTTGTTTTTATGATATCATAAAAACCATCGGTTGTAAATGCATATATAAGCATCACCTGTTTTTCCAAAACACATATAAATATTAAGGGTATATACATAATATATATAATTTTTTTAATGTCAAAGATAAGTAGCTTCCTATAGACCGAGAGATAAAATGTATGCCAACAACATACCTCTCGATCTGTAGGAATTACTTATCTTTATGTTATTACATTTTACGGAATGATGTAGCGATGATATAGCGGTGATGTAGCGTACGCTTCATTATAAAATTATATCTTTAATGTTAAAGATAAATAGTTTCCTACATAACGTTTCCTACGTAACAATTTTTTCTGATAGAAGGACACACACCTGGCGCCTTTTTAAATCTTTTTTTTAAAAAGATAAAATTGATCTTGTTATGTCGAATTTACACGTTATAGCAATTAATGCCGGGATATGCCGTGGCATCGAATCTCTGTCGTTGAAAACGGCAAAATTTTTTTTTTATGAGGGAGAAGATTATAAATGAATTTAACGTCACGTTGCGTTCGCCGGTGAGTTTCAGCGGATGGCTCATTTTTCATGATGTGATATGGAGATGGATAGACGGATACAGGAAGGAAAAGATGAAAGATTGCCTGTGATTGTATGTACTTGTGTGAGGAAAACATGAGATTGACTTGGGAGGGAGGAGATAGGGGACGGGGGATATGAGTGATGAAACCTGTTCACGTACTCAATGGTATACGTTACAGATCATAAGTGTATTACACAGCTTTCGTGCGAGATCGTTCTCCGTGATGAACAAAGCTTTTTTGCGAGATCGCTGTTAACTGTAGGCATTCGGAACGTGTTATAAATCACGATTCGAGACTAAGTGCAGCGTGAGACTTACAAGTCACGTTGCACCGGGAATTAATCATTGTTAAGAGAAATACGCTCACGACATGTACGATTCGTAGCTTAAATGCTAAGCATTAAAAGTCCATTTTTTATTTGAACTTTGAATGGAAATCCGGAAGTTTGTAGAATGTTGATTTTATCGAAAACGTCTCTCTGTTTTAATTTTAAATAAACTATAAAAAAATTTGTATTCGAAGCTTAATCTTCTTTTCTTTCTGCTTTTCCTTTTTTTCTTTTGTGCCAAGAACGGTAACTGTAAGTTACATCTAATATTTTTAGAATTAATATTTATTCTCAACACGTTCATACGTACTGGCCAAATATTCCTTTGGGAATCTCAGGGAAAAAGTAACAGACGCGCATCTCGCAATATAGATTCACGTGAAAAAATCATGTTGACGTTAAAGAAAGCTATCTCGCCCGGAGCAAAGATCATATCCTTCACTTTTATATAACGCATTTCAAGATGAATGTGTCTCAAAGAAAATGCAAAAGGAGCTGCGTAGAAGAGACACGGACAAGGTTGGAAATATGTGTATACATGTGCGAGTGATAGAGACAATGAGAAAGAGGGTGTGCATGAGGAAGAGGCAACCCGTGTGGGTTCTATCTTCTTCACAGGTCATCAGAGATCTACTGTCATCGACGCGCAATCTCGGGCCATCGACAAGCGAGGAGGTCGGCCGGTGTTGGCGTCGCCGGCACCTCAATCACTTCAGAATCACTGGAGAGCAACGCTATCGATACAGAGATACCCGCAGCAGCCAACAGACCTCGTAACACGAGGGGCTCACAAAAATGGAGTAACGTACGCGCGGTCATGACGTTATATTCCTCTCTACGCAAAATCAAGAGGTACTTCCGCTATTAATTGATATGGACGGTAACCTCGGGCACTGTCATCCGCACATAAGCACGCTACACACACACACACACACACACACACACACACACACACACACACAAAAAAGTATTCCGAAATTGTGATACCAAGAAAGAGTAAGTAAAAAACGAATTAAAATTTTTTTTTTACTTGAGTCTTCCGGAGAAAACAATTAACTTTAAATGTTCGTCGGATACTATATCTTGATTTTGCTGAGACAGATCTTGCTGAGGACTATTATCCTCATATTTATATTTATTATATTGGGATAACACACAAATCGAGAACACACAATAAAAATATTTATCGCATGATGAATTTTATTATCTTACAAATATTAAAAACGTTGCTCTAAAACAAAGCAGAGATAAAGGTAAATCTGAAAGATCATGTTATTCTAGTTTAAAGTTATTACATGCACGACGACATTATATTTACCTTTATGACAGAACACTGTACATGAATATTACATTACCGATTCAAGAATGCATAGTAGCATAATAACGACCTTTAGTTTCGTTACTGTCTCTGTCTAATGTATGCGATTTTTCAGTGTTTCTGTTTCTGTCTCTGTTTGTCTATTTGTCCGTCTATCTGTCTGTCTGTTTGTCTGTTTGTCTGTCTGTTTGTCTGTCTGTATATCGGTCTGTCTATCTCCTATCCATCTGACACTCTAGCTAACTGATTTGAATCTCGATTCTCGCCCATTTCTTATTTCAAGCAAGAACTATCTATCTTACATAGAACTTAGAGAATACAAACGAATGTATTCGATTTTCTCAAAAAGAAAAAAAGAGAATGATTTGTTCGTTTCACTAGGTTTGAAGAATGGAACGAATAGTAGGTCTCATATACCTATGTATATACCTTCGTGTTTGCTAGATACATAGATCATAGCAAAAACTGCAGAACGAGGCGTCTTGTTATGTATTTTCTGTGCAATTCCTGCGTGACGTTGCGCAGAGAAGTTCATGCATGCGTGAGATTTGCGAGGAATTCGGCGTCGTTCGCAGCCACGCGGAATCCCGATTAGAAATAACGTTTGTGCATCGTGCGATCGTATTTTCTTTGGGACGATATGCTCGCGTGTGATGACATACACGTGACTACGATACGCTGGCGTGTTTCACTAAATATCGAACTAAATACGAATTTGTCATCATTCTTCAACACGAACGAATTGATCGTGTCCATTAGTTCCAATTGTGTTGCGATAATAGACGCGCAGTTAATTTAGATTTGCTCAAATGAGAGCGTTGCGATGCAGCGGTGATATCACATGTCCTCTTTAAGAATGACTCGATTCAGTAAATCATAACATTTTTTAATTATTTTTTTTTTTATAAGTATGAAGTCTAAAATAGTCTTTCTATAGATTAAAAATTTTTATAAATTGATATATATATATATATATATATATATATTAGGTGTTGGAATTAAATTTATTTATAATGGAATAGTTACTTCTGTGTTTATTTTTAATTTGAAGATATTTTTTGTTATTATCAAACAATATATCTATTTTTATTTACTTGTAAATTATTGCGAAATATAATAAAAGTGAAAATGTGATGTTGACGAGTAATATTAGTTGCGAAATCATATACACATGTTTAAAAGCGTAATTAACGGGAAATTAATTTACATTCAAATTTTTTTTTGTAAAACAAAGTATTAAAAGCAAAATTGCAGTGATTATTTTTGTAATTCTATTTGTGGCATTTTTTTATAAATAAAAATTCAGATGTTCTGAAATATTTGTATCACAATAAATTGTGATGTACAACAATAAGTGATATATAGTAATAAGAATATAATAAATAAATATACGGTAGAGAGTGCCAATGATCGGTCAAAGTTAGATATTCTGAATAATACTTGATTTATAAAATATAATTGCGAACTGAAACGTTCGGTCATTCGCATATACAGAGTGTCCCACCTCGAACATCTGAAATATCTCGCTTGGTTTTTATGGTTTTATAGGAAAATATTTAAATGAAAGTGGAACGGTTTCAAGGGGAACGTATTTTAGTTATGTTGTCTTTCTTCTGAGTAGAGGCGACAAAAAGATGAAAGTCCATTTTTTTTAATGGAATTGTATGATTTTTTTTTACACAAAATGGTTTCTTCAATTATTCTAAATATAAAAGTATTAAAATAGTATTATAATATCAAAAAATCAATAGTTTACGAGATATTTTATGCTTTATTCTGACATAAAATTTTAAATAACTCGTAAACTATTAATTTTTTTATAATCATACCTTAATACTTTTATGAACAGAATAATGTGATGAATCGATTAGTGGAAAGAAAATATATAGTCGCTTACTTAAAAAATTATCCATTTTGCTCATATATTTTTTTAGAGCAATTATGTATTTTCTTTATACCAATTGATTTATCTTATTATTTTGTTCATAAAAGTATTAAGATACGATTGTAAAAAAATTAATATAAGAAAAAAGGCTCAAATAATTTATAAAATTAAAAATAAATATAGGTATACGAGCCAAGCTAGGTTTTAATGCTGTGTTATTATAAAACAAAAGTTATCACAAACATTTCGACCCTAATTGGGTCATTTTCAATATTGAAATTGATACAATTTGAATTAACGATTTATTTGAAAAACAGTAACTTGACAAAACACATGACAAACCCCCCCCCAAATACGAAATATGTTGTACAATAATTAATAAATTAAATATTAAAGCTCGGTTGAGATAAATCAGTACAATCAAATAATGCCTATTCGAGCCAACACAGAATGACAATGTGAAAATTGGTTTATTTAAATCAACACGACATTTCGATTCTGTTTCGGATCCTTATCAATGCTCCATGTAAATTGTTAACAGAATTTAGTCATCTAAGAATAGTAATGTAACAATGATGTCATCGTACTTCCTGGTATTATACAATAAATTTATTGAGTTATATAATAGAATATAATGTAAAAAATTTTTTTCTGACTTACATGATTATCGCAACGTTATTAAGTTGTTCATGCGTTGAGTCTCATCTGACGAGACAACATACAAGATATACAATACAAACATATAAAATATAGAATACATTGAGCGCGTCATTTAAACGTAATTATATTATCATAAGCTTTATCCAACAATTCCGTATCATTCTGTAAATTTAAACCGTTAGTTTGTTGTTTGATAAAAATAGTTTCTGAGATAAATCTTTTATTTTTTCCTCATCTAAGATGCGTATATTGTCCTAATCAAATTTATGAGAGTATTTCAATCGATGTTCTGTAATAACCGAACGCTGTGTGGTATTCCAGTTAATGTATTGTTGTCTCGTCAGATGAGATTCGACGTCTGACGCATGAACAGCTTAATAACATTGCGATGATCATGTAAGTCAGAAAAAAATACACTTATATTCTATAAGTGTAACAATTCGATCAATTTATTGTATAATATACCAGGAAGTTATTGAGAGGAAATTAATAAGACATTGGAACTAATAAATCTTATTACGCATCGACATCCTGTATTTGGCTCCAAAAGGCATCAACTTATGGACTAATTCATCTTTAATGAGTCTAATTACAACTAATATTTAATTCACATTAAAAGTATTAAGACAGTGATATCAAAAAATCAATAGTTTATGAGATATTTTATACTTTATTTTCGCATATATTAATATAAAATATTAAATAATTCGTAAACTATTAATTTTTTTATATTCAAGTTAAGTGGAACATGTATATGCGAATGACCGAACGCTCGCGATTATATCTTAAATTTATAAATCAAGAATATTGTATTATTCGGAACATCTATCTTCGACTGATTATTGGCGCTCTCTACTAACATATTTATGTTGTACATTTACACGGTTTTTATTTCTCATTTCTTATAGTAACTTTTCCTAGTTATGCGTTTTCTCACTATATATGTTGTAAAGAATAAAAAATGATTATTATTCGAACAGTTACCGATAGATGTCGAATCTCATACGTTTTGCTTTTCGATGTTCTAATACTGGCGACTTGTTTATTTTTCTGCTTGCAGATCAAAAAGCAATCAGCGTTGGATGAAACTGCGCACGACTGTGCAGCTGTCATCGGCGATGCAGAAGAAGCCTCCGTTAAAACGTGAAGACTCGTTTTTAAAAAGATTTGCCACCCGGCCGATTCCAGAAAGTCAGGAGACACTGGACATTGCCGGGGATGGGACAGATAAGAATATGGGTAATCGACGAGGCAGGCGACCTCGTAGGCAAAAACCACCGAAAACCGTTGTAAATCCTGACGAAGACTTCTATTACTACTGGCTGATGCTCGTGTCATTCTGCGTCCTTTACAATCTATGGACACTAATCGTGCGCCAGAGTTTGCCGGAGCTGCAGGCTTTGGCGCCCGGTACTTGGTTCGCCCTCGACTGTTCTACCGATTTCATTTTTTTTTTGGATATATTAGTGCAATTTCGTACCGGTTACTTGGAGCAAGGTCTTATGGTGTACAACACCCGTAAACTTGCCGGACATTATTTCAAGTCTAAATTCTTTTATTTGGATTTGTTCGCATTGTTACCTCTTGATTTACTCCAATTGAGTCTTGGCAGCAATCCGATGCTGCGGTTTCTACGATTTTTAAAACTTTATCGTATATACAACTTTTATTACATGGTTGAGTCCCGTACAGTCTACCCGAACTTTTGGCGCGTAATCAATCTCATTCACATATTACTTCTTCTCGCACACTGGTTTGGATGCTTCTATTATTTGCTAAGCGAAGCCGAGAGCTTCCGAGGTGACTGGGCTTATCCCCACCGGCCTGGAGAATACGCCACTTTAACACGAAAATATCTTGGCTCCGTGTATTGGTCTACTTTAACATTGACAACAATTGGGGATTTGCCGACACCGGAAACTAATGCAGAGTAAGTAATATAATTTCTATCGACATTTACATAACACTACTTTTGCTCCTTGCTATCCTTTTTCGTTTTTATTCTTTTTTTTTCTTTTTATCGTATCGCCTTTATTGTTCAAGAAAATCATTCTTTCCATTTGCTGGAAGGTATGGTCGCAGCATATTTCATAAAATAAAATATTGTCGGATTTATATAATACATATTATCGGAACATCAATGTATACCTCGCGTATTGCGCGTTCTTCGAGAGCCAGATCCCACTAGACTAGGAGCGAGCACTCTCCGTCTCGCGTAAATCGGATTTAAATTCTCGTATACCATTTGGATGCAAACAGGGTGTTACACGAACACCCCGTCTGTCATTGTTGCAGTCGTTCGTTATGCAACGATATCTCCCTCGTGGCATTCTAAATTTTGTGGGCGTTGAATCCGAAAACGGACACTACGAATCCTGGAATTAAGGGGTCTACCACCCTGACAAAATAAGCACAAAATTAAGATTTAAAAAAATTTAACTACTGCATAGAATTAATCTACATTGGTGGAAACGGGCATTAGTGAACTTAGATGCCTAGGAATTAGACTCGTGAAGCGGCCTTTTTGTTGTTGTGTTGGCAGAATCACGGGTCACAATCCCCGGAGGCTCGCTCGTCGCGGCCGACTGTCCAGGCTTCTGCAGTTCAAGCATAACGGAGGGTAGGATTGTTTCTAAAATAAAAAAAAAACGAACAGGGTTGCCATAGACCTGGAAAACCCGGAAAACCGGGAAAAGTCAGGGGAAAATGTAAAAAAGTCTGGAGTTTCGAAATTTGCTCACAATTCCCTGCTCCTATTTCAAATAATTGTTATAATTTTTTAAATATTATGTCTGATGTTTGTAATCAAATATGTTCTTGTGCACTTTAAATAAAATAATTAATTTTAATAAAATAATTAAAATTTATATAAAATTTATATTTTATTTAGTATTTTTATTTGATCTCTCTTTTTCGTAACTGCATTCTTTTTTCCAAAACTTATTTATTTTTTGTTGGCTTGAATTTGCACCCAAAATTGTACGCTATTGAGCTTTTTTTCCGTTGTTTTCAATAATATAGACCAGCTTTCCTACAATTCTTGAGTCTTAAATGTAAAAATTTACATATTTTATATTATTCATGAAAAATTATCTATTTTCATCTGGAAAATCTGGAAAAATCTGGAAAAGTCAGAGAATTTAAAAATTCATTTTCTGTGGCAACCCTGAAACGGAAAAAGAAAGTGAAAATGGGAGTAAGAGTCAGCGAGAGAGAACGGGATTGTGAGAGAAGAGCGAGTGAGGAAGAGGAAGAGGGAGCGGGGAGAGAGCGAGAGAGAGAGAGAAAATAAGAGCGAGAGTGAAAGCGAGAGAGAGAGAGAGAGAGAGAGAGAGAGAGAGAGAGAGAGAGAGAGAGAGAGAGAGAGAGAGAGAGAGAGAGAGAGCCGGATTCGGATTCAGCGCAAAAAATTACATAGCTTTCTCAATTCTGATAAAATAAATAAATAAAATCTATGAAATAAATAATGATAACGAAGTGAACAAGAATAATGAGATAGACGAGAAGGATAAGGTGGATGAGGAAAACGAGGAGAACAAGGTAGACGATTTGGACAAAAAACGCTCGTTTAGGGTCTCGGACGAAGGCTGATCCCAAGACTTAATACTGTCCCCCCCAGAACCCTAGGAGGGAATGACGGGATAAGGGTGTCCACAATTCTCGATAAAACATCTCGACGGTGACTCATCGATCACTCTGAATCTATCGCAAGTTTAAGAGAGACGTTTCCGACCACGTGTCGTGGCTCCTCGTGGCAACACTTATTCGCTGACATTGATGTAAAGCACTTATACTTCTTTTGCCAAAGTGCATCTTTGAATAACTTACCTTAATACACTTTGCAACAATTTTAAGATAAGTAAAGATTTTTACATTTTTACTTGGCAGCTTACGCGACAAATGCATTATATGATACAATATCATGTATAATATATATATTACGACTTTACTTTAATCTTAATATTATAATTTGTATTTCTAATGTACATTTTTACCAATAAGTAGATTTACTTATTTACTACTTTAATCTCAGTTCAATTTACTCTATCTTTTTCTAGTTTTAAGAATTAGAAAAAGATAGAGAATAAATTAAATTGAGATTCAAGTTAAGTTACTTATTGGCAGAAATGTACATTAGAAATACAAATTATAACATTAAAGATTAAAGTAAAGTCGTAATACATATATATGATATTATATTATATAATGCATTTCTCGCGTAAACTGTCAAGTAAAAATGTAAAAAATCTTTACTTATCTTAAAATTGTTGCAAAGTGCAAAGCACTAAGGTACAATTAGTTAAAGATGCGTTTTGGTGAAAGAAGTATAAGTATAAGGGAATAATTATGTGACGCGCCAATAGCCGTTCTATTAGATCTCATTACACCAATTCAACTTTAATGTCAATAAACTTGAAACGTCAATGTTATACATTACTTTCATCCACTCCCTCTTCAATTATGTGTGATTTGATTACGAAATTAGAAATTCTACAGCTAACGCGTTCTGGTATGTTAAATCACGCATGTATGTATCCATCAGAGCATTTTGTCAGGCTATGAATAATTCGAGATAAATCGAAATAAAGCATATAAGAAACATATAGAAAGAGACAAAGAGAAGGAGAAAGAGAGAGAAGGGAACATTTAACGCGATATCAATAACGCGATGCAACGTAATCGATAATATACGATTAATGTATGTGAGATCGATATACATTGCAATATTAATCATTTTCCGTGTAATTGTGATTAGTGTGACTTTAAATAAACATATGTGCCACGCTTAATACTGCAATAAATGGATATTCGATACAATATCCGTTTTCAGCTCAGCGGAGTAGTAAACCTTGATTTAACGGAATTACTGTATATCCGTCATGTAATAGCAACTTGCGCGATGTGCACCGACGATCACGGACCGATTTATCGATCAGCAATAACGTGACCAAATACCATCCACGAATTTTCCAATCTACGAATTAATATGCGGAAAACTTCGAATGATGATAATGTCAAAATTTATGAATCTTTGACACATAAATTACATAAAGCGTGAAAATTTCGATATTATTCAAAACGACCATTCCCAATTTCGTTTTCTTCTGCTGTGCCAAGCAAAATTATGGATTCTGAAAGTATTCTGATGTAAAATGAGAGAATTTTATATTTTAATAGAGAATATTTTTATAAATATTTACATAGAATTATTGTATAAGATATTAAAGTTGGGAAAAAATTATTGTAATAATATTTTATAATGAAAATGAACAAGTAAACTAGTAAATAGTAAACTAAAGTAAATTATAATAAATTATAAAAAAGGACATTAATTTTTCTTACATGCGAAATAGAAAAAAAAGAAAGAATTATAACATTAATTTATCTTTTCTTGAGCAGATAATTTTACAAGAAATTATATACGATTTTAATTTAATATTGTTTAACATTCCAATGATATAACATAGTTATAAGAATAAAAGGATATATTTATTCTTTTCTAACTGATCTCGCTTTTTCAGTATAACTTCAGTTTTTAATATATTCTTTACGCGCTTTCATGTTGAAAGTAATAACAAAGTATCGAGCGCAGCATTATCAATGACTTTAAAGGAACAATGAGAAACGAACTTAGCGAGACATTGTTGCGCAAATTATCGTTCTTCTTAGCAGTAGATTAATTACTCTGACACCCGAACACGATGGCATTGTGAGAAACTCGATTTAAAAGTCTCAATAAAATCGTTTAACTTGAAAAGTCTATTCGATTTCACGTACCTACTTAATCATTCTTTCTATCGATAATACTGCTTAATTTTAAAAAGCAATAGTACAAAATTTTTTCTATCATATCCAAATCATTTTATATATAACAGTATTACGTCGTCGATCTACTTATATTTTTTTTTGTTTTTTCTAAACGATTATTGATCTTAAAGTGAGAAATAAGTTATAAAGGCGCGGATGGGATTTGTCATCGACCAATGAAAACTAATTTCCCAAGAATTAAAATTCTCCCTCGGACGCGCATACCGCGAGGAATATTTTCAAGAAGTGAGTTGAGGGATCATCCTCATTCTTGGATTCTTCGAATACATTTTACGAAACGATTCAACAAAATGAGAACCTGCAAGATTACTTTGGTTGCTTGATTAAAATATCGGGGATTACCAATGCGTCCGCGCACAGAACGCTGAAAGGGATTTTGCGAAGGCAGAGCTCGTCAGACTTAAGATCTTTCTCTCTCTCTCTCTCTCTCTCTCTCTCTCTCTCTCTCTCTCTCTCTCTCTCTGTTTCTGTTTGGTTTTAAAGTTGGCAGTGGGTTTCACCAATTAAAACGATAGCGATGAACGAAGTTATAGAGCTCATAAGCTGTTGGCATGCTAACCTAAGCGGTCGAGAAATTGCGAGAGCCTTTTGCGGAACTTGTACCGTCAACGAAACAAGTTTGTACGACATACACGGTGCTTGTACAGTGTACACGCTCCTTTGTCGCTTTAACAGGAACGTAATCTGTATATGAAACGTTGTACATGTACCAGAACTAAATATCTTCTAAGACAAGAATATGCATATGAGAACTATGTTTACTGAATACGTATCAAAGCAAAATTTTCAAGATATTGATTTGCATCTATTAAAAAATTTATAATCCTATAAAAAAATTTTCTCTTTATCTTGTCATCTATATTTCATTAACTTGTATAAAATATATACTCTTGTACAAAATAGTATAAGTAATTTTTCACCGCGCGTGGATTAGAAAAAAATAAGTCCCATCGAGATATGAAGTATAAATGTACCAGTCATGACAATTGAAAGAAGCAATAAAAATGTTAAATATTTAGCTTTTAATGGTATGTACAATTCTAAATAAATTCATCTTATTAAATTTTTATAAACAACGAATTTATTTAGAGTCGTATGTATTATATTATTAGAAGCATAATACTTAACATTTTTGTCATTTTATTCAATAATTGAATCATGTCCACTAACTGTCCACTAATTGATCTCCATTTATCTTATTATTAACAACAAACGACCTCAAAGTTGTTTTGAGGTCGTCCGCACGCGAGAAACAAATTATAACTTCGGAGATCGCAAACTTTTCGATTTAAATACTTCTAACATCACTTTCCGACATCGTCTTTCCGGCTACTTGGTCCTTGACTTGTCCGGCGGCAAAATCGCTTAATGATCTGATGGGTATTCTGTACTTGCAGGAAAGTCGATTTGTCTGCAGAACTCTCTAGACGGCGAGAGAACGATCGGTTGGAATCTCATTTTAGCCGGTCAAATTTGATCTTGCTTTACCTCGAGTAACGTCGAACGAATCGCAAACTGCATTCTCACGATTCGACTGCGAACTCGTAGCCCTGAGGGTTTCCCTAGGGACAGTCACTTCCGCTCTCAATCCTCGATAGTTTGCTGAGCTCGCCGCATTTCCGCACAATTGTCTGGATTATGGCGTGTGTCTCTTTGAGTCACACGTTTGTTTACAGGCGCTATTCTGAGTCTTTAAGTTTGACTGTACGACGAGACTAGACGCGTTTAAAATTAAATTACAAGGAGTACTGAATTAATTAATTAATATCACCGCGAAGTTCGTATCATCTTCGTATATATTAACCGTATATATTTCAACATTATTTTTATTGTTTATTTATATAATTTTTTACAGAATACATTATACTTTAATTATCTCCGTATGTTCTGTAAAAATTCTATTTATTTGATTTGTCTCTGTTTACTTTGTATAATAATTCTTTATTATTCTATTTATATCTTACATTTATACTTTAAGCATTCTTGTCTTCTACCCTCTATCGCGTTTATTAGACAAGATACGCTTTTATTGTTTCATTTCTCTGTATTCATTTCTCTTTAATAATTTCTAATTCGTTTCGTTTTCTGGGAGGCTTTAGCAGTTCTGTTGGTGTCTCACTATTTTTGTGCTCGTTAGCTCGTCCATAATATATATTTTTTAATTTAATAAAAAGTATTTCAATTATATATTAACTTATAGTTAATATATAATTGGAATACTTCATTTAGAATAAAAAACGTGTTCATTAATTAAGATTTCGCAATTAAAATTTTAGAATTCGCACACTGATGCGATTTATCAATCGCGATTTGTTTCAAAGATTTATTCGTATTGATGGAATGAAAATTATCGAACATGAGTAAAATGAGCAAATAAATGATTCGTATTCGATTTAATAAAAAAGAAAAATAGATTATGAGAACGCCAATGTATAAAAAAAATATAGCTTGATTAAGCAATTTGATTGGGAAAGCGAAAAGATCAAATGAACATTTTTGCGTGTGCATTTTAACGTGAGGGCGTTGAACTGTGTGATATTCTAAATGAAATAAAAACCAATCTAAAGCAAAAAATGGACCAATCTAGGAATAAGCGATGTCAATCACGTCGTAATTAATCACGAAAAAATATTTAATCAAAACAATACGAGCGATTTAAGTTTTTCGAATATTTTTCTATAAATGAGCTAATTAGTAAATATTAATTTTATTTTATAGTTAGCCTGAAAAAATATTTACATAATCAATCAGCATAAATGTATATACTTATATATATCTATACCAATTATTTCTATTTTAAAATATTAAAAAGAAATTATTGATGTTTGAATAAAAGGGAGAGTGGTTCGAGTATCAATTAATCAAGAATTGCTCTTGGCGTTGATGGGTAGAGAAAGGTCATCACAGGGAATGAACGTATGAGAGAAATACTGAAAGGGGAAAAGTTCGAGGCCGGCGGAAGTGAGAGAATTTTGTGCCGGAAGGAACAAAAGGAAGAAGAGCGAAAGGATGTTTTTCTTAGAAAACCGAGTCGGTTTGAGGCTGTCGAAGGAAAAAGCGTGCTTATGTGTGTATGTTTCCATATATGTATCTGTATGTGTATACTAGTTTATGTGTGTCAATATATGAAAAGAGGTAAGAATACCTTTTGGGGTACGGTGAATCGCGAAAAATGTAGATAAACAGGGCAAAGAGAACTGTCGGTTGCGAGCATGTCGGTCAAAAAGATTGGACAGGTATCATTACGATAGAGAATATAATGGTTCCGAAATCGTGGAACGTTGTTTTAACCACAGCTTTAAATCTCGTAAATTTTCAACTTAAAACGTGAGATTTTTTAAAAAATTCTGTCTGTTTTCTTTTTCCCGTAGTTAAAAGTCTATTACTTTCAATCATGAATTATCAATGAAACTAGTCTATATAAAATCCAATCTAATGAAACTTGGCTAAAATTAAAAAGAATATAAAAGAATATAAAAGAATATATAATAAAAGAATATAAAAGAATATAAAATTTAAAAGAATATAAAAGAATATAAAAGAATATAAATTAAAAAGAATATAAAAGAATATAAAATTTATGCCAGAAATATGAAAACGAATGTTTTCTTTAAAATCTTTGCGGACTTAAAATATATTACAAAGTTTTAAAGAGTTTCAGAGTTTTACGACGCTGGATCTATCGATTGCGAAATTTTTGAGAGAAATTTTTGATTTTATCTAAGAAATTAAATATGCATTGTTTAGAATGTCTAAACGGTCGGTTAACTATTAACAAGTTGTGTCAGGAGTGAATTTTAAGTTCTGAGTTCGTTAAGGCTCTAGTTTAAGAATCATGGGAATTTTAACCATCTATAATGACACTTGACTATTCATTGATTCAGCAATCACGTTCAGTCAGAATATCAATGAATGGTTCTGCGCGGCTGAATGCAAAATACACGTTCCACCACCGCTCTTTCCGTTTTGCGAATTGGCAAAGAGATCAAATAAAGGGTACGAGAGCAGATTGTCTGCGATTGTTCGTATGTAGTATGTACGTGAGTGCGTGTATGTGTGGCTGCACATGTCAGTGAGTGCACATAACTGAGAGGATGGATGAAAAGGAGAGAGTGGAAGAGTGTGATTTGAGAGAGAGAGAGGTGGGAGGAAGGCAAGTAAGAAAGAACGGAGAAAATAAAAGAAAGAGAAGGAAAACTTCGGGGTTGCTCTCTCGTCCATAAACGAAGGACACTGATCACATCCCTCTCGAACTGATCGGCTCTCCCTTCTTGATTTGCAGATACGTATTCACGATAGTCAGCTACTTGATTGGCGTCTTCATATTCGCGACAATCGTCGGGCAGGTTGGCAACGTCATCACAAACAGAAATGCGAACCGTCTTGAATTTGAAAGGCTTCTGGATGGCGCCAAGACCTACATGAGACATCACAAGGTGCCGGGTGGTATGAAACGACGGGTGCTTAGATGGTACGACTACAGCTGGTCGCGCGGCCGGATACAGGGCGGGGGTGACATCAATACCGCTCTCGGTCTACTCCCAGACAAGCTCAAGACCGAGTTAGCATTGCACGTGAACCTCACGGTGCTGAAGAAGGTCACCATTTTCCAGGTGAGCCTCCCCTGTTCATGCACGCGCGATTTTACAATTAAAATATTTTAGCTTGTTAGGCGTATGATAAAAAAATCCCTTTGATATGTTAACTCATGTTTTTCGTAGTGTTTATTTCGACAACAAAATGGAAATTTCTCCTTTCTGATCTTATCGTGTCACACGATCCAATGTGTTAATAAGTAAGTGCAATTTGCGGTGGTAAAATATCGCGCGGTTTTTCATGAGAAATACAATCCCGAGGAAGATTTCAGTAGATTCGGGATATATATGAATCTCTGTTAAAGGAACGACGTTAAAGCCGGGCAAATATTTGAGCGAAAACATTGGTTTGTGTATCCTACGTCCAGAGGAAAACTTTTAAGAGAGCACATGAGTGAGATTTTAAAGACGTGACAGCCACGTTTATGACACAACTCAATTAGAGTCCCCGTTTTTCCATTTATGCGTACTATATTTCTCGCTATTTTTCGAATGTGTGCTGTGACTTCTTCGACAAACTCGGAAGAGACAATATAGAGGGATGTCAAAATAATTTTTGTTCTATCGCGGCAAAAGGCTATCGCCAAGTTCGAGTATCAAGAGGATCAAGTCGTTTCTGTGCGATATAGTCACTTAAGATTAAGATCATTAAGAGTAGAAGTGTTTTTTATGGGCCATCAGTTTGTGTGTCGCTACCAGTCGATCACAGCAACTTCGGTGATTCAGAAACTTTAGTAAAGGAGATTTACTCGTGTAACCACTTAAGTTCCGTTATCGGAACGAGAGGCAATTTTTGTCTGTAAGTGGTGAGCCGCGGCGTATCTCTTGTAAATCCTTTTCCTCTGCTGCGGCTGGAAACTTGTCATCCGATAAAAATAAGAAAAAGAATACAGGTGCGGAGAAGTACGTGCAAGGAAGTATTCGGAAAGTTTTACGGTCAGGGAGCGACGCAAAATCATTATGGAGACAAAGTGCGGTGAATTTCTCTTGATCGTCTCGAGTTTTTGCCGTACAGAATTTCTCTCATGTCGCCTTACACGTTAAAAATATTCAACCAAGTCGTTTAACGTAGAATTTTTTTGCTTTGACATTAAGAGTTGCTTTGACGTTAAAAATTTGTAGAAGTCACATTTTTAACACGTCGTAAAACGATTGTGCTCTGGATATATAATATGTTTTTTTATAGAAAAACCGCATGACAGTAGAAAGAAGAATGGGGAAAAAGCGCGATACAGAAAGTAGATCTAAAAAGTTAAATCCCTGGTAAATGGCGAGTACGTGATAAACTGATATAAAGTGGAGTGGCCGTTGTAAGCTTGGCGAGGCTTCTTGAGGGCTCTCGACGAGGAAGAAATCGAGAAAAATTGCAACAAATCGTAATCGTTGAAACGCGTAACTTCTATTTGAAAAATTCAATTGCACTTGAATATTCCGCACGTGAAATTTTTCACAAAATACGTTTGATACATAATTAGGATGAATTTTCGATTTTAGAAATATCGATTTTCTTTCTTTCTCATTTTGTCTCTCTCCAAAATATACAGCCAAACGAGAGAAGTAATTAAAGTTGTCGAACGCACGTCAGTATTGGTATTCCTTCATGATAGATTCGTGGAGAAACAAAGCCGAAACTTTGCTATCTTACTTCAGCACTTAATGACATTTGCAATAGTGAACTCACAGCGCAACATTATTCATTCAGTGATCCTGTTCAGGATACTCGATAACTTTGCTTTCGCGGCTTTGAAAAATGATGTATGAGAACGTATGCATATACTTTACAACATAATTTCACAATTTTATTCCTTCTATAGTTCAAGCACAATTTATCGTTTGCAGAATTATAGTTCCGATTATAGTTTATAATCGGAAGCATTTAATAATAAGTAGAATTTTATTCCACATTTTTATCGCATTATAACTTATAATACGAATTTAAAATAAAATTAAGCCGATTAAATTTATACATATATTTCGCTTTTACTCTCCATTAAAATACCAATAAAATGGACCCGAAATAAAAATGATTTATTTATTTTGTGTCAGCAATGATTAATATTGCGATAGCAAATGATTTATTGCCAATGTACATTGCATCATCTTGCGCAATTTACGCGTGTTTTAGACAAATTTGCTTATTTTGTAGGTAAGTAATAGATGAACGTGGGTCTTTATTCGATATATTATAACGTTATTTGCGCGAAACTTGAGCATCTGGACTCACTGCAGAAGTGATTAAATTTGATTTTGTGCTTCTAACGAGGAGATCATAGCAAGTCTCTCAACATGGAAATTAAGCATATTGAACGATGCGGAAGTGTATTGAACATATTTTAATTAAAATCTTTCTCGTCTTGCGCTTCTTTTTATCGGTCGCATATTTTTATCACAATGTTTATAAAACCACCACGGACGTTCTTAATGAGATTTCTCGGCTTTAAAGTTAATTTTTTCTCGATGATATAAATTTTATGTTCCAATGTATCATGTTTATACTGTTTTATCTGGGAATTGTGTCAGATTTTTTGTTGTATCCTGCACGAAAATTGGATTATGAAACAGGATAGCTTCGTGTTTTACAAACAGAGTAGAACGGAAATAAACTCGTTCAACCTTCTTCTGAGACAGAGGCTGTCAGAATATAGTCCTTAAGATAACAAGCGCACAAACTTACCGGAATAATGAGATCGGCGCATTTCGGACGGCTGTCAAAGCAATCGATCGATATCGATTTGTACTCATCTAATAAAATTTTATTAATTTGAATTGGAACATATAAAATGAGTTGTTCACACACTTATTAATTACTGAAGAAAAAAAAGCAGAGCTTTATTGATGCTGACGTATGTCAAACTATCTGAGAACCGAAAGTCACTACTTTAATCCTGAATCTCTCACACTAATTGTAAAAAAAATGATTTGGTGGAAAATTAATCATCAGAAGTTTCTGATTAAATCAATTAGAATTTTGATTATCTCAACTAGAATTTCAGTATAGATTTTAACCAGAAAATTTTCTGATTATAAATTACTAAAAGATTTTGTAATTAAATCTACTAAAATTCTAGTTGAGATAACTGGAATTCTGATAGGTATAATCAGAATCTTTTGGTTTGTGCATTTTTAATCAAACATTTTCCTCAATGCAGGAAAATATGAGCCAAAAATTAAACATTCAGATGAGTCGAAAAACCTATTGTTACTGTAGTATATATATTTGCTACCGATTTAAATTAAAAACATTCAAAACTAGGACTGTCCGTCCTAGTCATTTGAAACATGAAGTTATTTCGCGACGCGGAAAGTCCAACGGTAACAAGAGACGTGAAATGTATAAATTACGCTGCAATAAATCCAATCTCGTAATAAATCCAACTCCTTCATACATATGTACTCAGTGCAGAGTCGACGGCCAACAGATATACAATAATATATCTTTTGTATGCGCGACGCTCTGAAAATTCCATCTTATAAACTCTACATTCGGAGAGATGCGTTCACAGTAGGAAGATTCAAGTATAATACCATCGGAGATCATAATCGCGCAGTTAACCCACTTTCTTACAAGTTTGAAAAGACTGATCTAAATTTAATTTTCTCAAATTCTTCGCACGCTTTAAGATCATTTTGTCAGGTTCTTGAAAGAAGGGAATTCACTTTTGTGTTAAACTCTTCAAAATCCTGTTAAAGATCAACAATTCAATAAAGTAAATAGAAAAGTTAACTTGTTTTACAAGCTATTTTTCACGGCTTCAAAATTGCACGTGTCAATTATGATCATTTGTAATTCTGACCGTTTGTAATGACGCTTATTACTTTGTGTTACGAACGTCATATAATATTCACCAAAGTGTTAACACACTAACCACCATGTCGATCGAGGACTAACACAATGTTATGTCGCCTGCGTTGTGTCAACCACTGGCAGGTAACGTATTAAAGCGATACGTCGACAAATTGAATTTCGCAAACCGCAGACAAAGCACAGTGCCGTAACTACAGTTATAGATAATTTTGAATGAATTATATATAATGCAGTCTTTTGAAATTATAAAAATAATTAAAAGTTATCATGATTTATAGCCTTTGGCTACACTCTTCTAAAAATATTCAACACTAATAAACAACAAAGTAAAAAACACTTTGTGTTATATTATCAGTATTTAGTACATCAAATTTTATTTAGATTGTTTTTTTACTTTTTGTCTCCTAAATCTAGAATTTTTTAGTTGTGTTTATAATGGCTGTCTGAAAAAAATTAATATACAATCTTTTCTTTTAATTTAATAAATTTAATAAATAATAAAACTCTCTCTCTCTCTCTCTCTCTCTCTCTCTTCTGTACTTGGACAAATTTTTCTGGTTACTTATCAATTATCTACATTAAATTTATCAGAATATATTTATATAAATTTTACTCTCATTATTTTTTGTTTGCACGTATTACATGGATGTCAAAGTGCTCCTAACCACTTATATTTCAGGACTACTGCGTTCGATAACCGCAGCGGATATTGTTCAAGAGCGAAATGTAAGCAGATAGTAATCGGAATTGATGAAAGAGGAACCTCGATCGTCATCTTCGTGCGTCCGAAGAATTTCCATTATCTTAGAGACATCCTTTTTACTCGCCATTCTGTTTTTCTTTCCTTTTCTCCTTTTCTCCGAAAGGTAGGAAAACTGATGAAAGGAAAAAGAAAAGAAATAGGAGAAAGGCAGAAATAAATGTCGCTGAGATAGAGTTACACGTGACTGTGTCGCGTTTCTAGTAAATTCTTTCTAAATGTCTCACGATACTACCATATTATATAAACTTTATTATATAAACAATATTTTCCTCAAAATATATTGGATGAATTATTTTATTATTGTTTTTATTTAGAAATTTACAAGCAAGCAGATATTCAAAAGTGTGAAATCTTGTCGAGGCGTTTGGAATCTATCGTGCATTTCCAAGACTGTTATTTTCCTTCTTATAAATGTTATTATTCGCGATTTAGTCGAAGCTCCTGAAATTG